GGCAAGGTTGGGATTAAGCTAGTGTGCCCACATTTAAAACAGCTGGGTGAATAAGCTGGGAAAGGTGGCAGCCATGGTTGGGTAAATGACAAATTGAGTTGATAGGTGAGACACTGGGTGTCACCTTCAGTCTGTTTGCTGTGAGTCACCTGAGGTCATTTGGAGCCACTGTTTCCAATCTCAGTCACTTCTCTCTAGGACTCTGGGGTGTGGCTGAGATCCTAGCAGGGCAAAGGTTGAATGCTTTGGACTGAGCTGTGGGGTCCTATGGCTTGCAGGCTTTGGCAAGTGCACATCAAATAAAAGGGTGAACAGCTGGTCAGCAGAAGCCACTGTCTGGATAAAGCTGGAGAAGGACAAGTCGTGGGGTGCACAAAGATTGGCCACCTGCTTTATGCTGGGCTGTGAGTCAACCCAAAGTAACACCCAGCGGCTGAAGGGGCAGTGCCAAGCCCGGATTCCATCTCCACGGCAATGAGATTCCTCCCCCAGGATCCGCGTCTGGCGCTCAATAGTGACTTTCATCCCTGCCACGGCAGAAAGTCAAACTGGCTAATTGGCAGGGAACAGGGAGATTTAAAGCAAACGCTCCAGGAGCCACTGATCCCTGGCAACCAGGGGGAGGGGGAGGCACGCAGTTTCTAAGCAATTACGACACGTTATAGGAAACTGATTCAAGTTTCCCAAATTCTATTCTCAGGTATTAGCTGTGGCACAGAGCAGGGCCCCCTTCCCGCAACTTCCTTGCCAGTCGGGTGGGTGGGAGGGACAGCTCCTTAGCTGGGATGAGTACTGCTTAACCTTTTATCTATTCAGCTGGAGCCGATCACTTCCAGGCCATCTTAGCCCAGAGGGAAGGCACCTGCCCTCAACACGGGGTTTGTGACTGAGCTGGCGTTGCGTCATGCCTTCCTTCTGCTCCAGGTGTGACCCACCCTTTCACCTCTTTGCCTGAGCCCCACCAGCTTTACCAGTTCTGCCCACTGACCAGCCCACCACTGCGCACAGCACCCCAGCACTGGGGCTCCTCTTGCTTGGCCTCTCTCAGGAACTTCCCTTCTCAGGTGTGGCCTGGGACCTCTGCTTCTCTGGCTCTGGCCCCATAGATCCCAGCCGCACTTATCTGCTGCCAGAAAATGAGAAGGCAAGGCTCTGTAACCAATCAATTGGTCATCTGGCCAAGGAGATACTGAAGACTCACAAAGAGCTTTGAGAGAGACATATTTAGGAAGCAGGATCTGTAGGAGGCAGAGTGCTCCGGGTGTGATGGGGAAATCCAGGGGCTATGGACTCAGGACTGTTTCCTCAAAGAGGTGGGGCTAGGATGAGGTGAGAAGGACGAGCATGATGTTAATTTGGTGGCGGGAAGTGGTAGGACAGGGTGGCTGGGTGTATGGGGACCTGAAAAGAGGCAGGAGTGAGTGTGTGCTGAGAACACTCATGGGTGGGGTGATACCCCAAATACTTAACCCCGGACCCTCACCAGAACCTGTGCAAGGTAGAACCCTTAGCTGCTGGGTTGTGGGGACACCTGGCCAGTCCTGGGAAAGGACCAGAGAATGATGGGCAGGTAGCCACGGGCTTGGGGGTCGGGGCTCAGGGCAGCAGCTGTTTACCAACCAGTATGGAAGTGGTTCAATATTTTATTAACCATAAAGGACCCTAGAGTGTGCACTAATGCAAACTCAGCACGCCACTGCAGTGAGAGCTCTTGGTGGAGGCGACAGAGCTGACCTGGCTGATTTGTGCAGGAAATGGCCATGGGGACGAGTGCAGAACTTAGCAGTCGGAAGGCTGGAGAACCGCACTGGGGAAATGGGCAGGTATCAAGGCAGGTTGGCAGCAGGAGATGTAGATGTGGCCAAGTCGTAGCCATGCTGTGGTTAGGATGCCGCCGCCGGGACTGCTGCCACAGGACGTGGGATGCTGCTCTCACACGTGGCCTCCTGGCCTAGCTGCCATGGCCAAAAATAAGTTCTCTTCTGTTCCTGCACCTTAGCCTTCAAAGCCCCACTGGGCTGGGTGGGATAGGAAGTCTGCAAGCTCTGCAGGGGTAGGAGACAAGGGGGACACCTGGTTCCTTCCATTCTGGAGGGGCTGATGGATTCCTGCCAAGAGGCACCAAGGATTCCTCCCAAATAGAGTGGGTGCTGGAAGCTGGACAGCCAAAACAAAGCAATAGCAACAAATGCCCATTTGATATTGGGGAAGCAATTGTGTTGATGGAAACAGTGGAATGAGCTAGTTTTCTCTTTAAACCTAGGAGATAAGGCCAGGTGCGGTGGCTCACACCTGTAATCCCAGCACTTTAGGGGGCTGAGGCGGGTGGATCACTTAAGTTCAGGAGTTCAAGACCAGCCTGGCCAACATGGTGAAACCCGGTCTCTACTAAAAACCCCAAAATTAGCTGGGTGTGGTGGTGGGCGCCTGTAATCCCAGCTACTCAGGAGGCTGAGGCTGAGGCTGAGGCAGGAGAATCGCTTGAACCCGGGAAGCAGAGGTTGCAGTGAGCTGAGATCACACCACTGCACTCCAGCCTGGGAAGAGGGAGACTCCATTTCAAAACAGAAACAAAAACAAACAAAAAAACACCAAAAAAAAAGAAAGAAAGAAAAGAAAAAATAAATCTAGGAAATAGATGAATAACATCACCTCCCAGGTGAATGAGAGAGCAAAAGACCTAGTGGGTTCATCCTCCTATTCCTCAGGGGAACCATATCCAAATGAGACATGTACACAGGCAACACCTGCAGGGGTGGGGGTGGGGAGCTGCATTCTACATAGACATCCAAAATTGTCTCAGTTCAGACCCTCCAGAGGAGGGCAGCTCCTATCTCATGCAGACAGAGAGGGTGGGGTGACTGCATCAGAGGTCCGGTCAGAACTTGTGAGATGTAGTGAAATTTGACTGTGGCTAGTGGGTGAAGGGAGATTTGACAAACAGCAGAATGGCCCATGCATACATATCCTCTGGGTACTCACAAACACCCTGAAATTGTATGCAAAAAGTTGCATGTGTGCGCATGTATTTTTTCTGGAACAAGGTGAGAGCTTTTACTGAATCCTCAAACGAAAACAAGCACTGCTGCAGAACATTTCCTGAACACTCTCATTACCTGACACCCCAAGGCTCAACAGCATGCTCTAAAGTATCCATTTCTGTCCTCATCCGTTCACGTGCAGCTCTTAATCCTACTTCCCAGCCTTCTGCCCTCTTCTCCTGTCTCCTCTCCATGGTTAACACTCAAGCCCCAAACGCTCCTCCTTGCCACCCAGGGTCTGAGTCATACGTCTATCTGCTGAACTAAATATCTCTACTTGGATGTATAAAAGGCACCTCAGCCTGAATTCATTCCAACCAGAACTCTTGATTCACACCCCCACAGAAAAACCCCATTCCTCCCACCGGCTCTTCTATCTCCGTTCATGGCATTCTTCTTTCTGTAAAGCTGGGGGAGTGTGCAGTGGTGAAGCGCTGGGCCCAAATCCTAGCTTTTCCATTTGTTAAAGGTGCAAACTGACTCAACTCTCTGGGGCTCAATTACCTCTTCTGTAAAATGTGGGACATACTAATGCCTAGTTCACAGGAGTGTTATGTAATCTAAACAGCTTAAAATATATGAAAGGTAGGCCAGGTGCAGTGGTTCACCCCTATAATCCCAGTACTTTGGGAGGCTGAGGTGGGGGGAATCATGAGGTCAGGAGATCGAGACCATCCTGAATAACATGGTGAAACTCTGTCTCTACTAAAAACACAAACAATTAGCTGAGCATGGTGGCGTGCACCTGTGGTCCCAGCTACTTGGGAGGCTGAGGCAGGAGAATCATTTGAACCCAGGATGCGAAGGTTGCAGTGAGCCAAAATTGTGCCACTGCACTCCAGCCTGGGTGACAGAGTGAGACTCCATCTCAAAAGTAAATAAATAAATAGATAAGTAAATAAATGGTTTAGAGGAGTGTCTGGCTAACTGTATTAGCCACCGTTGTTCTTATTCTTCCAGTTGCTCAGACAAATCCTAAGAATGATGCTTATTTCTCTCTTTCTCATGCACCACGCCCAAGCCCATCATCAATTCCTGTCCATTCCACCTTCAGATACAGATCCCAAATCTGACCTCCTCTCCCCATTTCTACTGCCACCAGACTCGCCTGGGCAGCACGGTCACTTGTGGTGGTCTTCTGTCTCCCTGTTTCCACCATGGCCATCTTCCCCACACCAGCTCTCCAGGTGGCCACCAGTGAGATCTTTCAAAACTGTAGGTCAGGTCATTGCCCTCCTGTCAGACTCAAGCCCATCATAGCCTTTGCTATGCTGAGAGGCCGGTGCCCTCCACCTGTGCCCTCCAAATGCCTCTCCCACCCCTTCCCTCCCTCCCTTTACTCTGGCCACTCTGAATGTCTCTGGTCCTCCTTCAGCCCTCTTGAGCCCTCTGCCCAGAGTAAGGCCAGAGCGGAGGCCACAGCTGGAGACAGAGGCTGTTGGCCTGGGCTGGAGAGGGGAAATTCCTCTGGGTGGGAGGGGACACTGGGCAGCCTTGAAGTGAATACCTTGTGTAGGGAAGTAAAAATAAATAGAAAACAAATAAATGGATTAATTTTGCTTCTTTCCAGGGACCTGATTTTCTTTCTTTCTGAGACAGAGTCTCCCTCTGTCACCCAGGCTGGAGTGCAGTGGCGTGATCTCTGCTCCAGCCTGGGTGACAGAGGGAGATCACTGCAACTTCTGCCTCCCAGGTTGAAGCGATTCTCCTACTTCAGCCTCCCGAGTAGCTGGGACTACAGGCGCGCGCCACCACGCCCGGCTAAATTTTTGTATTTTTGGTAGAGATGGGTTTCACCATGTTAGCTAGGCTGGTCTCGAACTCTTGACCTCAGGCAATCCGCCAGCCTCGGCCTCCCAAAGTGCTGGGATTACAGGTGTGAGCCACCACGCCTGGCCCAGGGACCTGATTTTACAAGAGGTGCTCCAAGAGGCTTCTACACCCCCGCAGGGAGGCAAGCCGCGTTTTGAGGCGGCCGGGCAGGGTGGAGGCGCAGACCGGGCCAGCTGGAGGGGCTCTGCCCTGATGGCGTTCCCACTCCCACCGCATGAGCAGGGCGCCGGGGAGGGCTGGAGGGCTGCAGGTGTTCTATTCCCACCCGGCTTGCAGCTCAAGGCGGGGAAACGCCTCACACCCTCCCCTTCTTCCCAGCCCCACTTCCTTTTCCTGCTCCCACAGGTGGAAGTCACCAGCAGAAATAACCCTTCACCGTTTGGAGGGCTGGGAGAGAGGGGCCACGAGGGCCCCGGGAGACACCCCGGCGGCAGGTAGGGGACGGGGACAGTCTCCCTTCCGGCTTCAGGGGCCAGAGGGTGAAGGGCAAGGGGAGCCCAGGGAATGAATGGGTGCTGCCAAGTATTAACCCCGGGCTCCGAGACTCCAACCGGTCACGGTCCTGCAGACCCCCAGGTCCTGCACACCAGGGGGAATAGAAAGTGCCATTGAAATGTCAGATGTCACCGTCTTCATCAGCACTCGTGGAATTACGACCGAGGCGGTGAGACTTGACTCACTCCCGGCAGAGGGACGATAGCGGCCTCGCCCCGAGCGTTTATCTGGTTACAGGCGTTGTTCTCGGTTTCCTGTGTGTCCGGCGCCCCCGAGCAGGGAGGGAGCGCAGTTCCCGCCAAGCCCGCTGGGTGGCGCTGGCGCCGCGCCGTGTCCCGGGCTGAGGGGACACCGTGGTGCCCGGTCCGCGGCCGGACGCCCCCGCGCTCCCGCCCGGCCCCGCGCGCTGCCATCGCCGCCTCTCCTTGGCTTCCTCTGGCTTTCCAGTAACTCTCCTTCTGGGGGAAACGCTTCTAGGGAGCAGGCTCGGAGCCCAAGGGGCTGGCCTCGGACTGGATGGGGGTAAGGACGGGTGGTGGCGCTCGCGCCGAGCGAGCGGGCTGCGTCGGGTGAGCGGCACGGCCTCGGCGCCCTGGAGCAGACGCTGGGCGGGGAGGGGTGGGGAGGGGCTTCCGGGCGGGGCCTCAGGAGGGAATGCAGTGTGCAGCGGGGAGGGGAGGCGGGGGCGCGCCTGGGGGGCGGGGGCGGGGCCTGCAGGCTCTGGGCGGGGGCGGGGCGCGCCTGGCGGGCGGGGGCGGGGCCTGCAGGCTCCGGGCGGGGGCGGGGCCTGCAGGCTCCGGGCGGGGGCGGGGCCTGCAGGCTCCGGGCGGGGGCGGGGCCTGCAGGCTCCGGGCGGGGGCGGGGCCTGCAGGCTCCGGGCGGGGGCGGGGCCTGCAGGCTCCGGGCGGGGGCGGGGCCTGCAGGCTCTGGGCGGCGCCCTGCCGCCGCCTCCTCTGGCGTCAGGTGCCGGGCCTGGCTCTGCCTCCCCTCCCGAGCTCCGCTGATCCTGGCTGGAGCCGCCCCTTTCTCCAGACTTGGAACTTGACCCTTCTCCCACACCCGGGCAGGGAATCATTTGCCCAGTTCGAATTTGATTTTCTGCTTGTCAGAGGGGACACTGGTGACAGTGTCGCATGGACACTGTCGGGGAAGCCGAGACGTAGACCTGGAAGCCTTGTGTACAGCTGTGGAGCGTGCATCTTCAGGCACACCACCGGTTTCTGCTGCTTTGGCGCAGCCACAGGGCACCTGGGATGCTGCTCTGCATGCAGTAGGGACCTAATCTGTGCACCCTCTGATGGTGTTGGAGGGAGGAGGCCCAGGAATCTGCAATCTGCATTTTGCTTTTGTTTTGCTTTGTTTTGTTTTTCTGAGATAGAGTCTCGCTTTGTCTCCCAGGCTGGTGTTTAGTGGCCCGATCTGTGTTCACTGCAACCTCCCTCTCCCAGGTTCAAGCGATTCTCCTGCCTCACCCTCCCAAGTAGCTGGGATTACAGGTGCGCGATACCAGGCCTGGCTAAGTTTTGCATTTTTAGTAGAGACGGGTTTCTCCATGTTGGCCAGGTTGGTCTTGAACTCCTGACCTCAAGTGATCTGCCCACCTTGGCCTCCCAAAGTGCTGGGATTACAGGTATGAGCCACTGCGCCCAGCCTGTTTTGTTTTCTTAAATCCGGAAGTTCTGATTCGAGCCTAAACCTTCCATTCAAAGTGATACTTCCATTCCCAATCCTGTGAGCTTCATGAGCTCCACATATAGGGCTGTTAATCACAAATTCTTTATACTTTTCATGGAATTAGAGCGGCAGATGTTCTTTTTGGAAAAATGTTAGAAAAGGCCTACATGTCTTTATCTATTGGAAGAACTTAAAAACAATATTTCTCTAGGGTTTATTTTCCCTCGCGACTCTCAACCTTCTCAAAATAAAAGATTGGCAAATAAATTATACTGAAAGTCTTCAGTTTGATATTTTATTTTTGCATTCTTTAAAGTCGTGTTTATTAATTGCCCTGACAATGTAAGGAATGATATTTGTGAGGGTGAGTCAACAACACCTTCCCTGTTGGAGTCTGCCCTGTAATAACCCCGTGGGCCGGATCCCAGCATCGGGAAGGAGTCATCACGGAACGTTAATAAGGAGGAAGGCTGGTGCTGGCGCCTGGAACGCTTCAGAGACAGAAAGCAGTGACTAGGCCAGACAGGCCCGTTGTTTTTGCTCTTTGAGAGAGAAGTGAGAAATAGAAAATAGTCTCTCTGTCTTCTCAGCAAATACAGCCTATGCTCAGAATTTCTCTGACTTCCCATCCCTGAGATGCCGGCTGCCCAGGTCCATAGAGTCAGAGCAAGTGACAAACTGTTGTTCGTAAGAGTTGAAGAAAATGAATGTTCTCTCAATTCTGTGAGGGCCAGTGGGTTCCATGCGAGATGAGACAACTTGGTGAGGGTCCTAACTGAGTTCCTGATGCGTTTAGAAGCCTCTGGATGGCTGAGGGATGCACTCCAGCCATGCTGGAAAAATTGTATTTTGAAGTTAAATCTAGTAGTGTTTTTTCCAATGTTTACTAGGCCTCAGGAAAAAGATAACACATTTCCTTCTTTGTTTAGAGGGTGCTCAACTTGCTGGAATCATCTCTGCGATGGCTTTATTTGCCAACAGAGAACTTGTTCTGTGGCAGCCCCGGGCTCTCCGGGGACCCCTCTCTTGGGGGCTGGGCAGATCTCCCATCCCAGAACCATACAAGGGGAAGGCAGAAGCACACTCACTCTTCCAGGTCTGGGACAGCTGCTGAGCTCCAGGACACTGACTCTTCATGGTTGATTTTGACTACCTACTAAGTGCCAGCTGACCCAGTTCCACTTCTTAAACTTTCCCATGATTGCCTTGAGGGGTCTGCAGTATTGCTATTTACAGGTAAAGAAGGTGAGATTGAGGGAGGCTGAAAGACTTGGCCCCAAGTCACAGTACCCTGCAGAATGTGGTGCTGCCCACCTGGATATCCTGGGTGCTTCGACATCAACAGCTCTCGGCAAGTGAGTGGGCAATGAAGGATGGACAAAGGACATGGGGGAGCAAGCCCAGCTGTCGCGACTCACAGTCCCAACTCTGCCACATCACAGCTTGTGCAGTTGGAAACCCACAACAGTGGTCTTTAGTTTTTTCATCAAAAGGCCAAGAAATCTATGTCCCCACCTTCTCTGCGTCAATTCTGGTGCTGCTTAAGCCAATGATCATTTCATACCCTAAATCAAAAAATAAACTCTACAGTTGCAAACATCAACATTACACAGGACAGGATCTGGTCCACAGGTAAGAGAAGTACCTACAGGAGAGCTGCATGGAGCCATGGGTGCGTTTCCTGTTACCACTGGGGCATCCCAGAATGGTGACAAAGACAGAGAAAACTAAGACCTTCCCACTGTGATTTGTTACTTGTCGTAAAACCAAGCAAGTGACTGGGGGGACAATTACAGGGCAAATGTGGAAGGCCTGGAGGAAAGTGCCTATATTGTGTAGACAAAATCCAAAGCAGCTTGTTTCAGACAAAACGTTTTGCTTTGGAAACTTCTGTAATTTCCATGGCCTTTGAATATGAGAGAGATGATCTAAAAATTTTAGAGGCCATTAAAGTACCCGTGGCAGAGGCAAGGCATGGGAGTGGTGATCTTTAAGGGGCTTGTCTTTAGTTTGAGGGCCACACAAAAAGGAGGTGGGCAGAAAACTGAGGTCTCCCCAGAGCAGCTTTCCGACAAAAAGTTTAAAAAAATGACCAAGAAAATACATGATATAATTGACAATACCATAAAATGAAAAGTTTATCATAAATTCTAATAAAAACTACAATGGGCTGGGCACAGTGGCTCATCTCTGTCATGGCAGCAGTTTGGGAGGAGGAGGCAGGAGGATTGCTTGAGGCCCGAAGTTTAACACCAGCCTGGACAACAAAGTGAGACCCTATCTGTATTTTTAAAATATACTTTAGAAGGAGGGTAAACTGAGGCAGGGCAGGGCACTGCCTCACCTGGGAAGTGCAACTGACCAGAGGATCAGGGACTTTACCCCTTCAGCACCCAGTTCAATAAATTTGTCAAAAACCCCATGACCTTTGCAACCCACAGTCCAGAAGAACACTGCTAGGCTGAAAAGTGCCATGAGTTATCAACACAGATCTGAGTGACAGCTCTGGCCAGCCTGGTACCACGAGTTGTTGGCACGGTGGAAGTTTTGACTAGCACAGAGAATGCCTGCAGGACGGATCTACCTGACCCAAAGAAAGAGGGAGAGCTGAAAGCAGGGAGACAGGTAATACGGCTTGGCAGGTCCCACCCTCACAAAGACCAGCAAACTGAAGCCCCGCTTGAGAGTTTTGCAGCCAGCACATCAGTTCAAGCTTGGCCCGGGATGATTGAGTTTGATGGGGGGAAGGGTGTCCGCCATTGCAAAGGCGGGTCTAATCTCACCTTCGTAAATAAAAGCCAGGGGAAGCCTACATGGCAGCTGGGCAGAGTCCGAGGCAGCCAAGCAGCACCTCTGCAGGCAGGCAAGGGACAGACTACCTCCTCAAGTGACTCCCTGACCCTTGTATAGCCAAAAAAAATGCCTCATACAGGAGAGCTCTGGGTGACACCTGGTGGGTACCCTTCTGGGACGAAGCTACCAGAGGAAAGATCAGATAGCAATCCTAACTGCTCTGCAGCCCTGACAGGTGATTCCCAGGCAAGCAAGGTCTGGAGTTGACTTCTAGCAGTCCTACAGCAGAGGGGCCTGACTGTTAGAAGGAAAACTATAAAACAAAAAGAAATAGCTTCAAGAGCAACAGAAAGGACATTCACTCAGAGACCCCATCCGAAATCACCAATTTCAAAGATCAAGGGTAGATAAATCCATGAAGATGGGAAGAAACCAGTGCAAAAAGGATAAAATCATCAAAGACCAGGGTGCA